TCACAGAAAACTATTTTTCAAGTGTTCTATTTATTTTCTATTTTAATTTTGGGGTTACATTTTTGCTCTTCATATGTGCACAGGTTCAACTTACTCTCCACCAAATAACCCATGCCAACTACCCTCTCTGCCCCACTCACCATTCTGCCTTTCTTCCCTCTAGAGGTCATAGGAATTTAATGTGTCAAAATATTTAAAGCCAATAATACCACATCCTAAGTACTGAATCCAATCTTAAGATCTCAAGAATTTCTAAAATATTAATACTCATTTGTAAAGGTCAATTAACAGTATTTGAGAAAATTAAAACACTTAGCTTAACATGCAAGTGTGTTGGGATATACTAAGCACACATTGATTTTCTTCTGGAGCACATAAAACTTTTAGTCTTGGTGGACAATTCATTTACATATTAACACAAAATAATACTCATGGGTGCTTATTTAAGATATGTAAGAATGAGTGATTTCCTAAAAATAATCAAAGTAAGGGCATTTTGTGTAAGTCCACTGAATTAATCACACCTAATTCATACTGAACCATAAATGAAACAACTTCCTAACTTAGTCTGTAACACAAAGACATTCAAATACAGAGACATTCACTAAAAAAAATTTTTTTAAAGATTAATTCATTTATGCATACAGAACTGGGGTACAGGCCAGAGGTGCAAGCGATGGTGAGAGGATTCACCAGAAATGGGGAGCAGAACAGGCCAACTGACAAGTACACTGCTGAGGAGAGCAGCCCCGCAAGTCAGAAAAGGTCTGCCATACCATGTGGTCACCTCTGGGGCAGGCAGGAATCGAACTCATGCTGAAGTGGCTTTAGCTTCTTACTGCTGTGCTTTAATCCACTGCACCACCAGGGAGAGCCTCACTAAAAATTTTTAGTGAATTTTTTATTGCAATCTTTGTCTTAATTCAGGAAATGCAAACAATATTAGTTACTATAACCAGATCTGATTTTCACCCTATCCATTCATACAGATCATGAAAAATTCTTACCAGATTCTGTCACATTTCTAGGGGTATGTGGCATTTGAAGCATTACAATTAATTTCCTTTTTCTTCTGCTTGCTGAAATATTCATAGCCTTTAGAAATTTTCTAGTACATCCCTACAATGAGCTATACATACTAGCTTAATGATAAGCAATAATGTTATCTATTTTGTTAGCTGTATAGTCTAGTTAGGTCCTAATGATACTCTTAAAATTAAGAACTATCTGATGGGGAGCGGGACCACTTTATTATGATAACGATATTCCCCCTCTAGGGGAACAAGACATCTGTGGCTACACCTCCAGATCTGTTGTAATGATGAGCACCAGAAACCAGTATCTTAAGTTTCTCTCAAATAGTGTCCTACAATTACCACCCTTTCATGGTAAAGTAGTTAATTTTAATGTTCTCATTGTTTACCAGAAACCACAGACAGTGAGGCTAACTTTGCCACTCCTGTTTCCTTTTGCTAGGCTGCTGAGCTTTTTCAGCCAATTGACTTTGCTTTGAGGCTATAAATATCTGAAAAATGTTCTGCATTTGATGCTCTTGGATTCTGCATCCATATTTAGCTGTTTGTGGCATGCCTTTGTTTAAGCTACTCTACCACTCATACAATCAGTCAGGTTGAGAGCTGGATGGGCAAAGCATGGATGGAGCTATAATCAATGGTCATGGACTTACTATGACCAAGGTACTAATCTGCTAGACACGGTGACAATGAATGGGTGGCAAGAAAGGACTACAAAGATAAACAAGTCTGACTCCCTGTTGTCAAAAACTTTATAGTCTTCACAGTGCTTTGGCATAATTTAATACTGAATAAAACAAATGGAATATTTTACAACTAAAATAAAATGAAAGACAAGACAACATATATTCTCTTTTCTCTGCCTCAAAGATGTGAATTGGCTTGTGTTCTAAATATAGAGCCACCTATTATAAAGCTCTGAATACATTCCAAAAAGTTTTTAATCATGGCAATACACAAACTCTGAGTAAATGTAATATCAAAGAGTCAGACCTATGGATAGCAAATTCAAAATAGTGCCCAGTCTTCAAACTTTGTAAAGCAAACTGAAAAAACAATGTTTCTAAAATTTCTGTTATGATATTCTTTGGGGGCTGGGGGGGGGGGCTTTTGTTGTTGTTTGTTTGCTTGCAGAGTGATTTCAAACAGACAAGTTATTGCTATGTAAACAATAGCCAGAACTAGCAGCACTTAAGAAATTTCCTCATTTTATACCCTCTTTAAAATTTACATGGCTATTTTGGGTTAGGTCTCTAAGCTCAATGAGCTAGACCTGAGCAAGATCCCCAACCCTACTTTCCTATCTTGTGAAAACATTCCAAACAAATATACATGTGCCCTCCACATTCCTTCTTTCAAAACCTCATTCAGTGACCCTTTGATAAATGCTCCCCAGAACCCTTGACAGTCATGATTTAAATGCATTATTGGTTTGCTCAATGTGTCACCCCAAGAATCAGGTTGGAATTGGTAGGGCAAATTATAGGTAAAATAATGAGGCAGTCCATTGAACCAAACAACTCAAAAGCTAAAATGGAACTTAGATACCAATTACTCCAGATTCCACATGTTTGGCAGAAACTTCAGCCTACGGAGTTAAAATTACTTGCCCAAAGTTGGACAGCAAATTTGTGGCAAAGCCTAAATGAAAACCAAGGTTCTCAATCTCCAGTTGTATACTCTGGTTTAACTTCTCAGTTTCTGGATTTCTTTTTAAAAATACATTAAACTACACTACAAAGTCTCTTTAAGTTCTATAGAAGAATGTAGATGTTCCAAAAGAATCAGTACTTTGAACACGTAAAACAAACAAGAAAACCAAAATGAACTAGTGTGCAAGAAAACCAAAATGAACTAGTGTGTTCCAAACTGATGTTCTACATTCTATTATTTTTACTCCACAGCTTTTCAAAGTCATACAGTAAGAAACTTAAAAATGAGCCAAGGACACAGAAAAGTCAAAAGCCACTCAGACAATTTTGGAGTATTTATATCAAACTAAAGACCATATAATAGTATCCAGAATGGGCTGCCTTCGAGGAAGGCAAGCAAAAGCACTGGTACTAAACAGTAAATAAAAACAACTTCTGGGTAGTGGATTGCAGGGTGGGAGTTCGGTTTACAATGCAGTAGAACGTCTACAATTTGGCACTGAAATGCAAACTGGTATGTATGTGAGAGAAAGAGAATATAATATAAATACATATATAAGGGTATATCTAGGAGGGAACTACAAAAACAAGCACATATTTATATGGATTACATGGAAAAATGATAGCTAACACTAGGTATAGAAAAACCAAACAGAATAGCTTTGGACATGAAATATGGGAATTATCATATACAGATATTCCTTACAGTATCATGGCCCTATCTCTAATTTCATATAAAAAAATAATAAGATCTCAAATAGGTGTGTAAAGATGGAAGAGTAGATAGAATGAGAAACTGTTACCACAATGTTCTCTAACTCAAGCTGGTTTTCAGATTCTCTTCAACCAGTTATAAACTATTAGCTAAGTGGGAATAGCAGGTGGATGGAAAATTGGGCAGAAAAGTTTTCAATCTACTGTTAATGAACTGGGTGACCTTGCATCATCTCCCACTTCTCTAATTCAAGAAACACTTGTAAACACACAGAAAAATACAAAGTGCTATGTAAATAAACACTTAAGAACTGATTATAAGAAAAACTGCTCTATTTTTAGAATTGTAGGGATCATTAAAAGATTAATTTCATCCACTAATTTTACAGATGAGGAATCAGAAGCCCCCAAAATGACCCAATCTGCCCCAAATCTTATACCCACTTAGTGGCAGAACTGAACAAAACCCCAAAGCTCTTAACTTCTAGTTGTGTGATCTTTCTGAGTTACGGACATGAAGTCCTACAATCTACTCGACTATCCAGAAAGACAACTTCTGAGTCTTGGTAAGTCCCGAATGGTAAATGTATCTCTTGTTCCAAAGGATGAAGAAAAATAACATAATGTACCTTATCACTACAGGCTTAGATGCACATGACTACAGGAAAATGTCTTAACACTAAGTTTGATGTTGGGCACTTCAAATTTGTCATCTTCTACTCAGCCACAAAAGCTAATGTCTTTTGTATTCATTTGAGCTAAGTGATAACATCTTGGACTTTTCAATATTTTTGAAAGCCACAGCTCAGTCCTGAATGCCAGGCTATAAATCCTTAGGCTATGAGTTTTTAAACCAGCATGGTTTTAATGTTACCACAAGATTCACCCTATTAGATTCTCATCATTCAGTTTTAATTAAAGAGGTGGTTATTAGAAACACCGAAAGGGAAAGTTTTAGCGTATCCATAACGTTTAACGTGTTACGTAGCATTCATAACTTTTAACTTGCTAAGTAGCAACCCACTTTATCAAGAGAACTAGAAACAACAGTGCACAATCTCTTGGACTAAAGTGTTTGTCTTTAAAGAGAGCTTCAGAAAGAGATTGTAGCTTATTTTGTTTCCACAAGTACTTACGTTTGGTTTTTTATTTTGTTTTCTTACTATTTCATCCTCTTTTTTTTTTTTTCGTAACTGATTTCCTGCCTTGCCTCACTCAAGAGAAAGAAATAAAACCCCATTGACTTGATGTCAGGGTGTGTTCCATCAAACCTTCTAGACGATCGATTGACAGTTCCCCTGCAGTAATCGCCTAAGAATTAAGCCTACAGAGCCCAACTCCTCCTTAAACTTACTGCAGGTGTCTGAAAAGGTCCAAAGACTACACTGAGTCACATCTTGCTAGACAAGTGCTAGTGTGGAGAAACTTACCAGAAATGCATCACAGAACAAAAAGGGATGTGGGAAATTGACCCAGGAAGAATTGGGATTGAAAATAGGGCTCCGACTAGGAAATAAATTTCAGCCTGAGCAAAGATAACAAATACCCGCCTGGGCAAAGATAAGAAATATCGGCCTCTAAGACGGCCTGTGGTACTTACCGTACACCCGGACCCAGCTCTGTTGCTGACACACGGACTCCAGGAGAATCCGATCCAGCATGCCACCGGCCACGGCACCACTGACTGGGACAACGGCTTCCAGCTCCTCCGGGGGCAGCGGCGAGTCGGACTCCAGTCCCGGGAACATCTCCGGCCAGGACAGTGCCTCCGCGGCTCCTCCGGACGACGGGGAGAGCTCCATGGTGCCCCAGAGGGACAAGGCGGCGGCAGCGGCGGCGGCGGGGGCGCGGCTCCGCGCCTAGCCCGCGGGAAAGGGCGGAGAAGAGCGCAGCAGCGGGGGCAAGGATCGCAGCAGCACCGGGAGCAGACGCCGCTCACCTCCTTCCCGGTCGCCCACTACCAGCTTCTGGGGCGCCGCAGCCCACCTGCAGCCGGCGGGCGGGACCCAGGCCGGGAGGCGGATCCAGCGTGGCCCCGACCAGGGGTAGATCTGGGCTCAGGTGTGGGTCCCTCCCGGGAGGGGACACGAAAGGACCCGGGAGGGGCGACTCGCCCTCCTGCCCCCGCAGAGCTGCCTTTCTTAGCTCCAGTTGGCGTCCCTCGCGGCCAGACCCGGCTTGGGCTGGGGATGGAACCGGGCTGGGCAGGGCTGGGCTGGGGGCGTCGCCGCCTGGGGCCGCCCCCTCTGACCGGCTCCCGCCGCCGCTGCCGCCGCCTCAGGAGCTCTTAGTGTCCGCTCCCTCAGCCTGGAGGGACCGGTGGCCCCGCGTTCTCGCCCGCCAGTGCTCGGCCCCCACCCTAGGAATGAGCCGACCCGCCCCCCTAACTCTCAAGCCACAGCTCCCGCCGCGGCTCCGGCTCCGGCTCCGCCGCGGATCCCACAAGCCCGGCAGCCGCGGCGGTGGCGGCGGCAGGCGGCATCCCAGGGTGATAGGCTGAAGCAATCGAAAGCCGAGAGCCCGGCCGCGTGTGCAATCTGGTAACGAAGCGGAGGAGGAACTGCCACCAAAGGCAGGAAAAATCAGGCACCGAGTAATTCATCTGACCAGCCCCGCCTACTTTGCAAATACCCTCTCCCCAGCGCGCTGCCGAGCTAGCTCCCGGCTCCAGAGCTGCGGCTTGAACTACAGAGCGCGTGGGAGGCGGGGAGGAAAAAGGGTGCGGGAAATTTAAAAAGAAAGGAAAAGGACTTCCCTTTCCCTGCTTCCCACCTTTTCCTTTTATGCATTTATGTATGTATGTATGTACATATTTATTTGAACCAACATTTCTTTTTTACTAGATGAAAAGATTGGAGGAGCTGCTTTATTTTACAGTCACCCTAGGGGAAATGCCTCCTTCCTTCCCGGAGAGAATTGGCAGCGGGTCTGGGATTGTGGGATATGTGTGAGATCCAGGCTCTGCGCCCTGAGCGCGCTGAAGCTGGACTTCTCGTCGTCTTAGAATAGCCTGGCTGAGAAGTGCGGTGTGGATGGATGGACGGGCCTTGCAAGCACAGAAATGCTCAAAAGCCTGGTATTAACCAAACATGTTTCTGGGATGGGTTTGTTTTGGTGGTTTTTTTCTTTTTCTTTTTTTCCCGTTTGATCTTTGCGCAATATGAAGGCTTTTTTCCGCCCTCTAATGATGTCGCCTGAGTTTTATTTTTAGTCTATTTATAGACTGTCTTCCTCCTTGACCTTGGCTTTAACTTTATGCTCGCTAAGACAGGACTCACTCGTTTGGGGCTTAAGAGGCTGTTAGCCAAAAATAATGGCATTTTATAAATTGAAAAGTAACTGCTTTGATAGTGCCTTGCATATGGTTAAGTCTCCAACAATATTGGCAAAAGTATGACGACTTAAAATGGAACAGTTCCACAAGTACATGTTGCTTCTTTTTTTGTTTGTTTAAGATTTATTTATTCATTCATACAGAACTGGGGTACAGGCCAGAGATGCGAAGGGTGAGAGGATTCACCAGGGACAGAGTGGGGAGCAGAACAGGCAGATCCACTACGAAGTACACTGCTGAGGGGAGCAGCGGGTGGTCAGTAGAGGTCGGGTGGTCAGTAGAGGTCCGCCACGCCATGTGGATCTCCTCCTCTGGGGCAGGCAGGAATCAAACTCATGCAGAAGTGGCTTAAGCTTCTTAGTGCAGTGCTTTAACCCCCTGGGCCACCAGGGAGGGCCCTATTTTTTTTTTTTTACACCTTTTGGGGAGCATTTTTTGATGTTTTGTTTTGATAACTATAATTAGTAATTTTTATTGAAGTAGCACTGCTTCATAACATATTATGTTTCAGGTGTGGGTAATTATAAATCAATATCTTTATATACTACCATACAAAGCATGCTACACTGGAAGAATAGTTCTGTCCTCCAGCTTACAGTTGACCCAGTTTACCCACTCAGACCCCTCTTTTCTTTGGGGGGGTTTAATTTAGTGTTTCTCCTCCATTTCTCCCTACTTTACACAAAAAGACTGACCTCCAAGGGTACATTTTTGTGATGCCCTGTTTTGTTGCTTGGCTCTCTCAGGAGCTACACAAACACACTTTGTAATTTTTCCCAAATTTATTTAGAATAATAGTTTTTAGAGATAATCTCATCCAGCTTCTGTTTAACAGGTGAGAAAATTGAAGAACAGTGAAGTTACCTGTACACCAGTACAGATAGTTTTGTACTATCTCACTAATATTGTTTACTTCAACTTTGTTACCTGAAGAAACTTTTGTTATTAAGCTTGTTGGTGTATGGCTCAGTGATGGATTGGACTAATCCCTTCTAATATCTAAAACCATGATTTCTTACTATCTGACTCTATAGTCAGACTTCTATAGTCCACATCCTTGTATTCTGTAGTGCTTGAGTGGACAATGGAAGGTGCTGAAGCCAGAAGATGACAGGGTCAGCAATGAACTGAACTACAATGTTTATTTAGTCTACATTACTATTGAAGTCCTGATAACATAAATCCACAAAAAAAAAAAATGAGCAGCATATATATAGATTTTAGTACCTCTTTATTAGTCAATATATTAAAGAATGTATTTACCCAAGCAATTGCTTTCAAGCAGTATTAGGAGTGGTATATGAAACACTCCCAGAGGTTGTTTTTGCAAACTTTCTCTCTGTGTGAATTCATCAGTTTCAAACAGAAGAAAACCCTGCCATCCCATGCTAATCCTTCTGTCTTCACCCAAACCCTCTAAATCCTTGTCGCTACTCAACCTTTCCATGCTGACCCCAGAATAGCTTCAGTAGGTATCCAGTTAGCTAAAAAAAATAGTGTGGAATTTACCTAATGTTCATAATTTCAAGAGAATACTTTCAAAATCTGAACAGGAATTCAATAAGCTAAACAGAAATACTATTTATAAATTTGCCATTTAGCAAATGAACAAGAATTAAAAGAATTCTCTCAAGCAACCTACCTAGAGTAACATCACTAATATTAAAACCTCACTCTACTAATTTTTAAATTCATTAATGGGCCTATAACCCTTGAGGATTTGGGGGAGGGAGGCAGTAATGTTCTTATTACAGTTGTGGAGCCAAAAGTGGTGGCTATAAATTGTTATCTTTGGTGAAAACATAACAAAAAAAGTGACAAAACAATTTGTTTTGCTGAGAGGCAGTTGACCCTGCTTGGATTTATAGCAGGGGTATCTCCCTGGTATAATTCCAGATCTTAATGTGAAGATAAATCCTTGACTGATAAAGTCTTTGTTTACAGTGCAGTTTGCAAACAGACCTTTGTATGTGAACTCCAATAAGGCTAAAGTTTCATTTCGCTGGCTGCCCTCTCCCCTACTCAAGAGAGACACTTAACTCTCAAAGGTGATGTGCATATTTAGTGTCCTTCGAACATATAACTCCAAAGAATCTAATCCAGATCCAGGATGAGTAACAACTAAACTCTGGGGAACAGTGAAAGGGAAAAGGCAGCAAGTTCTCCCAAATAATAGTCTGAAAAACAAAGCAATCTCACGTTTCCAAAGAAAAAAGAGAGACCTTAAGATTCTGATTACACATTTCCAATATTAAGGAGAAATAAAGATTTGGAATCTTGCTTGCCATAATCAGAGGGTAATATATTTGCCTAATTTCTTCCCTATTCACAAGACAGATGCATAAATACACATATGCATACTCACACTCATGAAAGGTTCTCTGTTCACAAAGGTTGTAACTATTTTCATATAGGCTAGCTGGACACCACCTGAAAGCCATTAATCCCCCAAACAGTAATGCAACTTTTAAATGGTGGTTCCCCAGTTGTCTCTTTCAATATTCCCTCTCCTCTTGAACACAGCAGTACAGCTCTGTCCTGATTATATTCTATAACACTGACTGTGCCCATTTCATCATAAGAATTTGCCACTTGCTTGGCACTTCCTTTGCCAAGGAAGGCTTGTCTTCCTTCTTCCTTATTCTCCAATTTATTGGTGATCTATTTATTTCCATTTCAACTCTCACCTGGATAAAGTTGGCTTTGAGATGCCCATCCACAGCCCATCCACAGTGCTGATGTCAGGTCAGGAGTCTAAATGCCAAATGACACCACCATAGGTGTTCTTCATGTCCTTCAGACTCAGTGCAGTTCAAAGGAACCCATGTTCCTGTCCCTCCTCTCCAAATAACTTTCCCTTTCTGAATTTCTTTTTTATATTGGTTGAAGTGGATGTTTCTATCACACGTTTATAGATGATCTGTATGCCTTCTCCTCCACCCCTGCTTGCATAAATGCAAATCCTATTTGCATTCCCACTGACACAATCCTAGCTCAGATCTGGTTTGCTTTCACCAGGATTATTGCATTAGATTTTTAGCTGTCCTCCTTCCCCCGAGGCCTTTCCACCTCCAGTTCATCCTACACTCTGCTGTAGGTGAATTATCCTAAAGCACAGTTCAGAGGAGGTCATATCCATGCTCAAAACACATACACATGCACATAAACACACACAAAACAACTCCCTGCTCCCTACTAAGTTAAAACACTTACTCTACAGAGATTAAAAGAACCTCACAAATATGGTTTTACCAGTCTCACTTCCCATGCTCAGCCAACCCCAAATGACTCTCTTCCCCAATACAGCCAAGGCTTTGTTGCCCTGGTTCTGCTTATTTCTTTTATCAAGTATGTTCTTTCTTCCATCTCTATCTGCTGAAAACCACCATCATTTAAGCCCCTGTTTGGTTTGATTGCTTTAAAGCTGTAAAAGATACTTTAAAAAATAGTTTAATAAACCTAGACATGCAATCCATTTTCTCTCTTATTCCTCCCTCATTTTAAAAATAAACATGCTCAAACCTGGGAAAATGACATGGCTTGTCCAATATCACAGGATTAGTGACAGATGAAGGATTAGAATTCAGAGCTCCTGAATGGCAACTCATCAGCAGATTGTTTCCTTCCTGCCCTTTTCTGTCCTTCTCAAATTAATGCTTTTCATCATGATAAAGGTTTCTTTAGTAATTTTATCCTTTTATATATATTATTTAAGTTTAAAGCATTTGTGCTACATTCCTGGCCCCACATACAATTTTAGCAAAATTATACTTCAAAAAAAAATAAATAAAAAACAAAACCAAAGGACCAAACAGAGACATCAGAGAAACATCTGGTCTGATTCATCAGGGTAGCAGCAA